TATTTTTAAAAAAATCTGTATTAACTTACACCACGGCAAGGGAAAAAGTATAATCCTTGAAAGATACACATATCAATACACCCACACACCCATATACACACACAAAAACACAAGCTCATAAACACCCACAAACACACACATACACACCCACCTATATACACACTCACACACACAAAAAGTAAAATTTTTTAAGGCTCCTATTCATACGTTACGTTGATAGGAACATTATCAAATCTCTCTCTCTATATATATCTTTCTCTCTCTCTCTCTCTCTCTCTCTCTCTCTCTCTCTCTCTCTCTCTCTCTCTCTCTCTCTCTCTCTCTCTATATATCTCTCTCTCTCTCTCTCTCTCTCTCTCTCTCTCTCTCTCTCTCTCTCTCTCTCTCTCTCTCTCTCTCTCTGTGTGTGTGTGTGTGTCGTTAAAAGCTGCCGGATTTATACAGGGAGACAGTTGGAACCTCCGGAAAAGAATTCTAGAACTTGCATCACTCGATAGCAGTCTCTAAAACAAATTAGAAACTAAACAAGATTTTCCCAATTAAGGAAAGGGATGGTGTGATCAAGTGTTAGATATTTAATAGTTTATGTCAATATACAAATTTTCTTTTCAATTATAAAAATATATATTTATAAAGTGGGGTGAGAGAATAGTGGTTGACATTTCAGCTCTACTTTTAAGCAAGTTTAGGTCAAAACACGAGCTATAAAACTTGGCACAGTCGGAGAGCCAGAATATAAATACAAAAATGCACATTAACTGACTAACAGAAATTAAATAATTTAAACTAAATATTTACATTCTCTTTACACGTCTTCGTTTGTGTATTTGAAACATTGAAATAAAAACTGAAACACCCAAACATTGTGACACCCAAACATTGTACCGCCCAAACATTGAAACAACGAAACATTGTAACACCTAAATATTGAAACACCCAAACATTGTGACACCCAAACATTGTAGCACCCAAACATTGAAGCACCCAAACATTGAAACTACCAAACATTGAAACAACGAAACATTGTAACTCCTAAACATTGAAACACCAAAACATGTAAACACCCAAACATTGTATCACCCAAGCACTGAAACACCCAAACATTGAAACATCCTAACACTGAAACACCTAAACAGCCATTGAATAAAATAGTAATAGTATGCTGTTGATTTTGTTGGTCAAATTTTTTTACATTGAAAATTTTTTCACTGGCAATCACGCTGAGAGGGATTCACGGCTGAGAATGATTCACGGCTGAGAGGGATTTACGGCTGAGAGGGATTCACGGCTGAGAATGATTCACGGCTGAGAATGATTCACGGCTGAGAATGATTCACGGCTGAGAGAGATTTACGGCTGAGAGGGATACACGGCTGAGAGGGATTCACGGCTGAGAGGGATTCACTTGATGAGACAGTTTCATTTTCATACCACAATCAAAACAAGGCATACACTTGATGAGATAGTGTCCTACTACAATCTGAACAAGAGATTCACTTGAAGAGACAGTGGTCCTACTGTTATCTGAACAAGGGACTTTTATGGAAAAACAGGCTTGTAACAGAGCATAATACACAGAACACAAATGAAGTTAAAGTTCACTGTTGTTTACTGGTATATAAAGAAGATTATAGCTTTTTAAATGTTCAATTTCAAATGCTAATCTCTAAACTTAACTTTCCCCACTAACATTAAGATGGTCCGTGTGTCGCAAATCGACCATTACTATTTTCAATACCAGCCCGTTACCCGGGTTGAGTCTGTCTGTTGGGGGCGCCGATGGCGGATCAGGCTAACACAGGCACGTAAAGTTCTGGAGCAGAAGGTGCAGGGATGGATGGGGCAACTTAAGGTACAAAGTGAATTCAGGTTTTTCTGGCTTGTCTTTTGTGTTCTGCAGCAGCTGTCCCGTCAGTCTCCTGTGGCATTGAGCCCAGCAGCTGTCCTGTCAGTCTTCTGCGGCATAGAGCCCAGCAGCTGTCCTGTCAGTCTCCTGCGGCATTGAGCCCAGCAGCTGTCCTTTCAGTCCTTGTGGCATTGAGCCCAGCAGCTGCCCTGTCAGTCTCCTGTGGCAGTGAGTCAATGTGTATCGACTAGGGCCACGAGTCTCGATTCTTTGAGGACTGTCCCACATGTCCGGGTCAATGTGACATGCTTTCAAGGATGCTTTAGAGCGTTTCTTCTGTCTACCAGCAAACCGGCCTTCCTTCTTGAGTTCAACTTAAACTATTCTATTTGGGCATGCGGGTCGTCTGTCTGACCTGCTCGCACTATGGCCCGTCCAGCGAAGCTGGGACTGCACTAATAAGATGTGTGTGAGTAAGGAGACCGGCCCCCTGTGCGAGTACTTTTCTGTCTGGGATCTTGTCTTGCCATTTCCTGTTTAGGATTTTTCGGAGGCGTATCACGTGAAAGTGGTTTAGTTTCCTTACATGGCGTTGATGGACTGTCCGTGTTTCACATGCATATAATAGCGTTGTTTGGGGTGAGGGGGAGTATTCTTTGAATGGTTTAAATGCTTAAGACAGAACGTTTGAGAACCACTGATCTAAAATGTGTTACCTAAAAACTAAAAAGTTGTTGTGCATTATTTCATATAAACTGTTTGCCATAACGGGCCTTAAAGCGTTTCATCCATCTATTCTACTGATGTAATTGACCAGAACATTCTCTAGTCATGTAAAGCAACACAAGAATGGCGGTGCGCATACAATTTTATGTAACATATGAAGGTACGGCTATGTTTCAGATAAAACTATGTGTGACGCATTAAGTAACTACTTTGTTGCAGATAAATCTATACATTTGACGGCTGGTCAATAATTTCATCAGTGATATATCATAGCATTTTGACCACTGCAATTTACATATACAGACTTTAGATCTGACTTTAGAACTAAATGACTACTGTGTTTTTGCATTATTTTATTACATCAGCAATAATAATTAGACGTGATATTTAAAACTTGCTTGAGTCCTTCGAATAATGTTTTGTTTAAGTTTGTTTATAAAAAAGCATGCAGATTGAACTTTCAATTTCAATTTGTTAAAAATAATCTTCCTTTCCTTGCACAGCCACAGCCACAGCGAGCGACCCATGACGCCATCCTGTGTACCGACATGTTGAGCATTGTTTGATGTGCCCTCACCAATGAAACCACACAACCATTTCGTTTAGACAGTGTGGACGGACACAAGTACAGCAGAAAGTGTTGTAATTTGTGCCTGGTTGAGCCCAGCTGCACATCCTTCAACCTCATACACACAAAACTTCTTTAATAAACGCATAAATCATCATCACTGTTGTGTGTTATTTTTATACTTACATAAAACAAAATTGTTTTGGAAGTGCGTGGAAAAAGAGATAAGAAGATTGTGAGTTAGAACCTGTCAGAAAGAACTCAGTTGACCTATGAAACATTATGGTCAATCCGCCAGAATGAACTCAGTTGACCTCTGGAACTTCAAATAAACAAAATGAATCTGCAGGTGTTTGATGCGGAACTTGTAATAAACAAAATAAATCTGTAGGTGTTTGATGTGAAACTTCCAATAAACAGAATGAATCTGCAGGGGTTTGATGTGAAACTTTCAATAAACAAAATGAATCTGAAGGTGTTTGATGTGGAACTTCCAATAAACAGAATGAATCTGCAGGTGTGTGATTTGAAACTTCCAATAAACAAAATGAATCTGCGGTTGTTTGATGTGAAACTTTGCAATAAACAGAATGAATCTGCAGGTGTGTGATTTGAAACTTCCAATAAACAGAATGAATCTGCAGTTGTTTGATGTGAAACTTTGCAATAAACAGAATGAATCTGCAGGTGTTTGATGTGAAACTTCCAGTAAACAAAATGAATCTGCAGTTGTTTGATGTGAAACTTTGCAATAAACAAAAAAATCTTCATGACAGGTGGGCCTGACAGTCGACCTTATAAAAGCGTCCATGTGTCGCGTATGCTGTCTAAAAGATACCCTGAAGTGCTGGGAAATAATTGTAAATTAAATTTGTTATATTATTGATCAAAAGAGAGTATATCATGTCATAAGGTGACCAATGTTATACACAAAAAGTGACCTTATCAAGCTATTGGCCTAGCAGATACAACATGTACGCGTGATGATTTTACAAGTTCTTAAATTTATTGTAACATTATCACAAGTTCGTGAATTTAATGTAATATTATCACAAGTTCATAAATTTAATGTAACATCAAAAGTTCATAAATTTAATGTAACATTATCACAAGTTCATACATTTAATGTAACATTATCACAAGTTCATGAATTTAATGTAACATTATCACATGTTCATGAATTTAATGAAACATTATCACATGTTCATGAATTTAATGTAAGATTATCACAAGTTAATAAATTTAAGGAAACATTATCACATTTTCATGAATTTAATGAAACATTATCACATGTTCATGAATTTAATGAAACATTATCACATGTTCATGAATTTAATGAAACATTATCACATGTTCATGAATTTAATGAAACATTATCACATGTTCATGAATTTAATGAAACATTATCACATGTTCATGAATTTAATGAAACATTATCACATGTTCATGAATTTAATGAAACATTATCACATGTTCATGAATTTAATGTAACATTATCACATGTTCATGAATGTAATGAAACATTATCACAAGTTCATGAATTGAACACGTTCATCAATAACTAAAGAACCATTCCACAGAGTATATGTCAACATTCCAGTCGAGATGTTTGGTACCTAAAAGTGACATATCTATATGTAATGTAGCATTTCATGTAACAGGGCGCTATTCAATGACATACTAATTGACTTCATATAATATTTGTATAACATGCTATGCAATGAAATGTCATTTAATATTAAATTTAAAGAAATAGCATGCATTGTGATTAAATGTTGTCAAACGAAGAATATTTCATGTAAAATCAAATCTCATAATGAAGAATTATTTAACAAAGTATATCCCGTGTAACAATTAAATCACCTAATGAAATGTTACAGCGAGAGTCTACACAATTTACGTGATGTAAATACATGCTTGATAACATTTATTATCTAGCAAAACTTTTTTTTTTTTAAAGTGTACAATATGTTATTTAATACGTTTTGCTATAGTAGTATACAGCAAATGTCACTGTCGCTGGGTTTGGTGCGATGCTTCGCTTCTTCCACCTTGAGCACAGCGATGATAAAACTCAAGAACGATGTCCAAAGCTGCACCTCCTCGTGCTCAGGGGGCAGGTCGAGACTGGTCTCTATGAAGACGTGAAACTTCTCGTAGAACGGCTGAGGAGCAGAGGAGCAACGATTAACGTATTTAAATACCTGGAACGAACATGCTTGCTCGGTCATCTGTTACAGTACCCCAAGAAGACTCTTAAACGCAAAATAGGTTTAAAAAAAGACTTTTTTTTTTGTTTTAAACCTTTGATTGTTTACGCACGAGACTGCACGAATTGCTTAATCACGCTCACATCAAAAAACTGTGATCCGATTGGTGGATCCAGATCAAGATGGCGGCGTGCTAGCTTTAACGCCCGACTCTTCAGAACATCCGGTGCATTCAGGACCTTGACCATTTCATCCAGCTCAACGATGACCTTCCTCGAGTGTCTCAAGAACTCTTTGTCCACCTTCAGAACGCTGGCCGCAGAGCTGGCCGGAAACTTGTGGAACCGTTTCCTCATATCTGGAATATTGTCCATCATCCTGTCACGTGGGTTAAGACAAAAAAACAAAAAAAAACAAACATGGAAGGGCAAAAACAAGAACAAATATTGTGTCAAGGCAGCGGCTCTCAACCTGTGGGTCGCGACAACTTTGTGTGTGTGTGTGGGGGGGGGGGTTCGGGTCGAACGACCCTTACACAGGGGTCGCCGAAGAACATTGCAAAAAAAATGTTTATGAAGTAGCAACGGAAATAATTTTACTAATGGGGCTCAGCACAACATGAGAAATTGTGTCAAGGCAGCGGCTCTCAACCTGTGGGTCGCGACAACTTTGTCTGTGTGTGTGGGGGCGGGGGGTTCGGGTCGAACGACCCTTACACAGGGGTCGCCGAAGAACATTGCAAAACAAATGTTTATGAAGTAGCAACGGAAATAATTTTACTAATGGGGCTCAGCACAACATGAGAAACTGTATTTGGAGGTTCGCGGCATTGGGGGAGGTTGAGAACCACTGTGTATTGGGATAAAGTTGGTTCCGGTGTCTGCATGTTACGGGGGCAGATTTTAAAAAAAAAAAATCAAATGATAAATGTTTAGAGATCTCGTTAGGTTCCATGGGGAGGTTGGGGGGGGGAGGTGGGGTGATAGTGATAGTGAGTGGTGAAAACAGTGGAATAGAAATTGAGAGTGAGAAAGACACCAGATAAGAGTGACCGAGACAATGAAGAACTGAAGGGACAAAGGAGGAAAATAATAAGAGGGGAGGAGAATTAAAAAAATTCAAACCAATAACCTACCCTGACACCACGTTTAAACCAATAACCCACCCTGACACCACGTTTAAACCAATAACCTACCCTGACACCAGTTTTAAACCAATAACCCACCCTAACACCAGTTTTAAACCAATAACCTACACTGACACCACGTTTAAACCAATAACCCACCCTGACACCAGTTTTAAACCAATAACCCACCCTGACACCAGTTTTAAACCAATAACCCACCCTGACACCACGTTTAAACCAATAACCCACCCTGACACCAGTTTTAAACCAATAACCCACCCTGACACCAGTTTTAAACCAATAACCCACCCTGACACCAGTTTCAAACCAATAACCCACCCTGACACCACGTTTAAACCAATAACCCACCCTGACCCCAGTTTTAAACCAATAACTCACCCTAACATTCCGTTTAAACCAACAACCCACCCTGACACCAGTTTTAAACCAATAATTCACCCCCCAAAAAACAATTTAAACCAATAATTCACCATAAAACCAATTTAATCCCAATAACACACCATAACACCAATTTAATCCCAATAACTCACCATAACACCAAGTTCAAACCAAGCTCGTGCAAGTCCTCAAGCGTTGCTCCCTTCATCTTGGTCCAGGATTTTATCAGGGTTGCTCGTTCACTTCAGAACATAAACATGGCGCAGTAACGTTAGTAAAACAGTTGACACTTTCGACACTGAGGACATTTTTAAGTGTGGCTAAGCTCCGGTAACCGGACAAAAAAGCAAGCTTCTCCCTCTCACCTTTCAGTCAATCCTGTCACACGACATCTCGGCCCTGATGATGTCCCGGACTCCGAGACGAGCACAGACTTCCTCTCACCTCCAATGTGGTCAATGGAGAACTCGGTTCCTGGTCCAGCGGCTTGTGACATCGTGCAATGTCTTAGGGTTATTCCTGGCAAATGTTTTTTTTTTTCAAAAAATGTGATAAATGACTTTGGTCTGGTAAGATTCACTGGACTAAGTGAATGTGTATGTGATAATTAGCTTGGGTCTGGGTAAGATGCATTGGACTAAGTAAATGTGTACTCTTGTATGATCGATGTCATCGCGACATTTACAGCTGAATTGACTGCTTGTACAATATTGAATAGATTGCTCTTACACAGTTGAATCCACTGCTCTTGCACAGCTGAATCGACTGCTCTTACACAGCTGAATCGACTGCTTGAACACTTCTGAATAGACTGCTCTTAAATAGTCGAATTGACTGCTCTTGCACAGCCGACTAGACTACTTATACATTGCTAAATAGACTTCTTGTACAATAATGAATTGACCACTCTTACATACCTAAATTGACAGCTCATACAATGCTGAATGGAAGGTCCTTGCCACCTTAATTATTCCATCGATCCCTTTGCTTTGTTTGTGTCATCAACGTGGCAATTGATCATTTCATCTTTTTCTTCACATCTTTCAGGTCATAGCTTGCTGGTCACATCTTCGACACGACCTTGACCTTCTAGTGCGACAAACACCTTTTGAAAACACGCTTCCTACCGTCCTGATTTGTGTCTGTGTACACAACGCTATCTACACGTCATATAAACGTCATAATCCACGTCATTTAAACAACGTCATATCCGCGTCATTTAAACGTTATATCCACGTCATATAAACGTCATATCGACGTCATATCGACGTCATATAAAAACGTCATCTGAAAGAATGTACGGAAATCAGAAATGGTCGACGGAGCTTTCATAAAGGTGACGGAGAGTGCAAAGGTTACAACAATGCGTTAAAAACAACTCTAGGAGGCACCCTTTTGAATTTTAAATTATTGGACATGACGCAAGAGGGCGTCAGAAATTGAGTTCTGTGGTGGGCGTGATTGGGTTAACTGTCACCTTTCATAAAGGTGACGGAGAGTGCAAAGGTTACAACAATGCGATAAAAACAACTCTAAGAGGCACCCTTATGAATTTTAAATTATTGGACATGACGCAAGAGGGCGTCAGAAATTGAGTTCTGTGGTGGGCGTGATTGGGTTAACTGTCAATTCTAAGCCAGATATTGAGTTCTTTGGTGGGGGGTGGGGTGTGGCGTGAATAGATTTACTGCCGGCTCTGATAGACTTCAACATTAGTAGTTGTTACAGTAATAATGATGATGATAATAATAATAGTAAATAGAGATACTCATAACTGATGTAATGACACATGGCCCTGATTTAGCTTAGAGTTGTTGTTTTTTTTAATTTTAAATCTAGCCCTGCTCTCCCTTGCTTGATGATTATGGTACAACATTGTCCAGATAAAACTAAACGACCATATTTCATATATAACTAGGCCTTCATTGGCCAAACATAATTTGACGCTCACAGACGGGCCATGTCAATGTTGTCTGATACCATGTGCAGTTGGCTTAAATTTACTACCGACCATGCCTTGTGCTAACTACTTAAATAGCACAATAAGAATTAGAGTCTGTCTTACGTTATGTCCATCTAAAGACACGACTGCTAGTGCCAGTGTTTAAAACTATTCTGTCAACTGTCAATGGTTTCCCTACACTGTCAGGTTCTTACCAGACAAACGTGGGGAGGACTGTGTTCTGGTCGAGCCAACGAGACATACACAAAGGCTAGAGGAGAACCAGAAGAAGGACCATACAAATAAGTGGACGTTTTTGCAACTATACTAGCATATTTACCATGAAACTATCATATTTGATACTATACTATCATATTTGCAACTATACTATCATATCTACCACTATACTATCAGACTTACAACTTTACAATCATATTTACCACAGTTCACTATACTATCCTTTTACCATTACATTATCACAATTTCACTATACTATACTATCAAAATTACAACTATACTATCAGAATTACAATTACATTATTAGAATTACAACTATACTATCAGAATTACAACTATACTATCAGAATTACAATTATACTATTAGAATTACAACTATACTATCAGAATTACAACTAAACTATCAGAATTACAACTATACTATCAGAATTACAACTATACTATCATAATTACAACTATACTATCAGAATTACAATTATACTATCAGAATTACAACTATACTATCATAATTACAACTACACTGACTATCAGATTTGCAACTATACTATTAGAATTACAACGATACCATCAGAATTACAACTACAACGATACTATCAGAATTACAACGATACTATCAGAATTACAACGATGCTATCAGAATTACAACGATACTATCAGAATTACAACGATACTATCAGAATTACAACGATACTATCAGAATTACAACTATACTATCAGTTTTACCATTAAATTGTTCAATATCAGTGTTTATCAGTATATTGTCACCATTAACACCACCACTATATGTGTTCGCCTGTCCACCGCTCCTGGTAACATAATGCCCTATCATCGCTAGACGCTAGCAGCGCATTTGTCAGTGTTCACACACCGTTCAGCACCAAGGCTAAACTGTGCGACAACTTGAGACACGCCAACTGCTGGTGTGAAACGTTTGAAACTGTCGGACTAGGACACTTCAAGTAAATCGAGCGCTGAATTAGGCGCTCTCTTTCAAATTTAACTCCAGATTTTGGATGGAAAAAATGACGACTCTGGAGATGCGTTTGGGCTACGAGCTATGTTGTCCCATTCTTCAACCAGCTTGTTGCCCCACTTTTCTACCAGCTGTGTTGCTACACTCTTCTACCAGCTATTTCGCCCTCTCTTCTACCAGCTATGTTGCTACACTCTTCTACCAGCTGTGTTGTCCCAGTCCTCTACTAGCTATTTATATCTGCTATGTTGCCCCACATTTCTATCTGCTATGTTGCCCCACATTTCTATCTGCTGTGTTGCCCCACATTTCTATCTGATATTTTGCCCCACATTTCTATCTGCTATGTTGCCCCACATTTCTATCTGCGATGTTGCCCCACATTTCTATCTGATATTTTGCCCCACATTTCTATCTGATATGTTGCCCCACATTTCTATCTGCTATGTTGCCCCACATTTCTATTGCGTAGTTGACAAGATTGACAAATTTCAATAACAAACACATTTCTTTAAACACTTAGCCACCCCCCTTAAATATTAAACATTTTGTACCTCGGACCAGTAATTTTACCAGCTCCGGGGGTAAAAACACCCTGCTCCAGATCTCCTAGCTCCAGCTCCGGGGGTAAAAACACCCCGTTCCAGAGCTCCTAGCTCCAGCTCCGGGGGTAAAAACACCCTGCTCCAGATCTCCTAGCTCCAGCTCCGGGGGTAAAAACACCCTGCTCCAGATCTCCTAGCTCCAGCTCCGGGGGTAAAAACACCCCGTTCCAGAGCTCCTAGCTCCAGCTCCCTGGGTAAAAACACCCTGTTCCAGAGCTCCTAGCTCCAGCTTCGTGATTCGCTCCAAAAATCCCTGCTTTGACTCCAGTATATATTTTAACCTTTGTCGCGATTTAAACGCACATCAATGGTGTTAACAATTTAAGCATAATATGGTAAACAAAGAAACAGAAGAACACCACGTGACTAGTTCTAGACGTAAAGGACTGATTAGCAAATAAATTGACAAAGAAAAATGCCGGTTAACATAAAACAGTTGTCTCCATAGCAACAGGTCGATATCAAATATCTGATTCAATTTTAATATTTTTGTTGGTTTTAATTCGGAGCTTTATGTGTCATGACCGGAGCTCTACCAAATCCAAGCTTAACCGCATGCCACCCTCAGTGATCTCAAGAACCATTGAATATTTCGGTCTAATTTAAGTCCTTTTCTTTTGGGAGACAATTAAGATAAGATAGATAAGATTCTATGTTGATTTTTTAAAAGTACATATTCATTTTCAGCGCTCAAATAAATACATATTTTAACTAAGACAACATTCTACAAATCGACAAATTAAACCCAAGGCCTAACAAACTGGGAGTCATGTCAAGGGAAGCTATGATCAAACACTAATTGTTTCTTAAGAAAAGGGATAGCTTCCCTTAGTATGTTCTTTGTGGGAGACAACTCACTTAGACTTTTTATCGGCGTCTTGACAAAGGGTGCCACCATGGTGGTAGATGATGGTATATACCAGCAGGCATAGATGTTAGTCAATTATACTATGTCATCATACAAAGATGTTAACTAATTGTACTATACAAGCTGTTCTCGGCCTATGGGTTGCGACCCCTTTGGCGGTCGAATGACACTTTCGCTGGGGTCGCCTAAAACCGTCGGAAAACACATATACTCTAGAGCTATCAATTAGCAACGAAGATAATTTTGCGATTGGAGGTCGACACAACATGAGGAACTGTATTAAAGGGTGGCGGCACTAAAAAGGTTGAGAAGCACTGTGTCGTACCATCGTAAAAAGACGTTAGCTAATTATCATATCCGCTCAAGTTATCTACACAGATTTAAGGACTTTCTAACTATTTGTGCGTGGGTGAAAGCCCTTCTATGCAGTACTGAAATGGCAGTCTCTGCAATCCAGAAATGCCTTTCTCTGCAGTCCTGAAATTCCATTGTCCTGAAATGTCCTCTCCAATCTTCTCTTATACTATCAGATACTCCCAGTTCAAAAGAGTATCCAGTGCCATGCCATTATCCAACTTTTCCCTGGTCCTCACAGGAACTGGAGTCAATGTCTCTTTAACTGCACACGTCAGGAGCATGTAATATGTCATATGATAGCTTGCCATGAAGGTCAACGCTTTGTAACCTCTGAAAGACTTTTAAATCTATTAACATAATGATGTGACTAGAGAGTATCTGACAGGAGAAATTAAACTGTACCGTCCTGGGATCGCCCTTAAGCACCGGCAGATCCCAGGTGAGAGTTGAAAGGACGTCAATGCATTAAATCAAGTGTAGGAAATTTGTTTACTATAAACTTGTTAACGTACCACCCGTCATAGGGACCTACTCAAAATACTTCTCTATTGAGTGATCTGTTTTCTGTTTCTTTGTCTTAAAATAAGCAGTATTATCAGGACAGGGCCGACACGTGGGGCCTGTAAACTATCCTCCCAACAGGGGCCGCAGATAATTTAGGGGCCCATTTTTTTACATTTAAAAAAAAATAATTTTTTTTGTGATGTGGAAAAAAATTAATAAAAATGAAATATTTTACTTTCATTTAACAGTTCATTGTTTAACTTATTGTTTTCTCTCAAATTATTTTTATTTAACCCACGAACTGTAGTAAGAACTCTTCATCTTGAAAATCACAAAGGGGGAGAACTCTCGTATACTCTTCCACCCCTCTATATGTATTTATTTTTATTTTTTTTTTTGAGGTTTTTCTTAGTCCTTATTAAAGAACAATAATTTTTACAAAATAATCATGTTCTTATTTCGCTGTTTACAGTTTGAATCAGCCACTAAAGTAGGAGCGAATAGGGCGAGAGGGTTAGGGGTGTAAAGGAAAAAAAAGGGGGGGGGGCACTTAACAGCAGCTGCATTTTCCGTTGTCATTTTTACTTGTATCTAACATTTGGAACTGAAACAAACCCAAAATAAAAAAAAAGTTGAGCTTAATTGTACTCAATCAGGCCTGGAACTATGGGGGGGGGGGGGGGGGGGGG